CATAAAAGCTGACTGCTCCTATAAAGTCTTCTCCAAATACTGCAGAATTTTATTTTGTTTTTGGGCTATACTCTGTGGGAGTCGGGGATTACTCATGGTTCTGTACTTAGGGATCACTCCTGGCAGGGCTCACAGAGTGCTGGGGGTTGAACCCAAGTCGAACCCAAGGCAAAGCACGTACCCTATCCACTGGGCCATTTCTTTGGCCCATATTGTAGAATTTAAAAATCTTAAATACCCATTACCATAATAGCCATCATTTTATCACTTTGGATATATTCATTCTAATAATATATTATTGTAGCTCCTTCAACTTTTCAACAAAGTAAAACAAATAAAAACACCACTAAAACAAATAAAAACTTCTGATTTCTTTAAAAGAATAACTGGGAATTAAGCATGATAGCAATGTCTGTTAAGATAAGTATATGTATTTCCTAAGTGCCTATAGAAAGATATGCGCCATTTGCTTTTTAGAGTAAGGGGGAAAACACTTGCCCACCCCTAGAGTTAAAAGTACTTTAGTAGAAATGAATTTATTTTACTTCACTGACTTTCTGGGGAAAAAATTGCAGAACTTGCTTGCTATGTTTTGTATAAAGATATTGTATAGGTAGTCAATATGGAGGGAATACAAAATTTTCATCCAAATTAGCTGTAAGAATCTAATTCTACTGTGAGGAGGTCACACCTATCCACATAATCAGTTTAAAACACAGCCTGATATAACAGAATTTTCAGACAAAAAATGACATCAGCAGTCTCCAACAAGAATTCTCATCTAAAACTGTTGGGAAGAACAGATATGCAAAAACTAAGATATGCAAAAGCAAATTAAAAAATATGTACAATTTTGTGTTCAACTCATCTCTTCCTGTGAGCCAGTTATTTTTCTCATCTTCATGTAATCTGCAATAGTAACTATTTTTCCCCAGTACAAATTTAAATTACTACAGAAGAAAGAGCAATATGAAAGATGAGAAGCAGTACTGAAAATCCCAGAGTGTCCCAGGGGTCAGGGAAACGGGACAGCCAACCTCTCCTCAGAGAAGTGGTTAACTGTAGTATGGCAATCCAATTGGAACACCTCGTTCTAAATGGAGACCAAAGAAATTTGCTGTAAAGTCCTCTTTCTCAATTCCCAAGAAGACAACACTGTATTAGATGATCAGAGAGACTACTTGGAAACTTTCATACCTGTGGTGGTCCTGAGTCATGTCTTTAGACAAGAATCGAGCCAGTTTTGAATGATATGTCTCATGCTTCAGCAATGTTTTGCTCTAGACAGAAGCACCATATGGAAACTATGAAACTGGTTTCATAAAAAAGACAATGATGAGTCAATGTAATGTTTTATGTTTCTGTTTCTATTCAACTGGTCTGGTGAACAATCTATCATCTTAAGACGAAGTATATTATGTCTTCGTTTCAATTCTGAGTCCTGGTTATTAATGCTAAACTTTTTATCACAGGGATTTTGAAAAAACACACTCTCCTTGAACAAAAAAAAGGCCTTTTTTTTTTTTTTTCAGACAGCAAGCGGATAACCAGTTCTCTCAAAGAGAGAATTAGTATATCCAGTCTTGCTGAATATACTAATGAAAAAGAATTCTAAAGAGGGGAAAATGGTCAGGATCATGATGTCAACGTTTTTCTTTTCTTTAAAAAAAATAAAAGGGGCCACACTGGCAGTGCTCAAGGGTCACTTCTGGCTTCTGTACTTAGGGATCAATCCTGGAGGTGCCCAGGGGAGGGTGCGTAGTGCCAAATGTCTAACCTGTGTTTGCTGTATAGAAGGTTAAGTGCCTCACCAGCTGTAATATTTCTCTATCCCAAAACAGCCAAGATTTTCTCTCCAATAAGAGACAGTACTAAATTTCAGCACTCTCCTGAAAAATTTCAATTGCCAATAATAAACATTAAAAAATGAAACTATGATGTCAATTTGTTGAGACTAGAAGAGTAACCCACTGGATAATTAGCTTGAGAATACAGGCACTTGGGCTCAGGCAGCACGTACGAATGCTTCCTTTGCTCAGGTGCACTTTTATAATATTTTCCCAAGCTGCCTCACTAGGCAAGAGTCCGTTGCTAGGGTGGTTGCCAAGGGGGGTAGAGTTTGTAGGGGTTGATGGTCCTCTTTGAAATTCCTTTTCTTGGCCTTTGTTCCTGCTGGAGGTTCTCTCCAAGGGGTCCAGCCTCCTCTGGGTCTCTAAGGTGCCAGCTGAAGTCTTACTAGGCCTTAGGGCCTGCTTCTGCTTTTGGTAGCCTGGTTGGGGGTGGGGGTGGGGGGGCTTTCCTATCTACCTGCCTACATCAATAGGTTTGCTAGTTTAATATATTAAAACAGTAACAAGTATTTTCCTTTAAGATTGAAATAACATATAAAGAAGTTTGCTTTTCCTGGATTGCTTTAAAACACAAAGAGAAATTGCATGGATAAAAACAATTACAGTTGTTGGCACGATGCCAAAATGGAAGAACCAGCACTTATGCAATTACTTGTTTTGTATAGGATGTGGGAGGGCTACAGACTAGCTGAAATTAATATGTAGAAAATAGCAGCACTGGTTCCTTAGAGGTACTCAGAAACTATCATATGTACTCACTCAGCTTATAAATCTCTGCAATGACTATGATGAAAGATAATCATGTTTCACTATTATAATTAAAACATAGTGCTCCATGCTTCACTAAAGAAGTAAACCTATGAGATATAGATAATAATAGGTACAAGGAGAGGAATTTAAGGGACTATAATTTGTCATTTTTCAAGGAGATTCATTAAAATAAAATACTTGTATGATAAAGATTAGAACAGCAAAAGATGATTCTCCCAAATAAAAGTTTTAGGAGATTTATTCTTTACAAAGTGTAATTCTCAGTTTCTGATATTTCCTATGTATTTTTTTAAATCAGAGAAAACCTTATAAGAAACTATGACAAACATGAGGTTACCTTGTTTATGCTATATTCACATCAAGTAGGCAAATTTTATTGCTATGATCTAGGCAGAGGAATCTGGACATACTTATAAACCAAAAAAAGAAAAAAAGATCTATGAAGACTGTTAAGACTGTAAGTGGTGATCATATAAAAGAATTCAAACCTAGAAAAAATAAATTTTTTCTAACATATTCTTATTACACCCATTTTATCTTGGCTAAAACAATTATCTTTATCAATGGTACAGTTATCTATTCATTTGATTTTTATGTTTGGAGCCATATATGGCAGGGCTCAGGGGTCACTCTTAATCATGTTCAGGGGAACAGTCTTGGGTGCCAGGGATCAACCCTAGTCTGCCATGTGTCAGGCATCCGCCTTGCCAGTTGTACTCTCACTGGCCCTGGTAATGTTCTGTAAAAGAGAATAAAAATCTATCTGCTGATTCCTAGTTTTTCATTCACTCAAACAGGTCATATCTACTTTTGTAGATTGTGTTCAATAAAAAGCTAAATAACCATTGTTGTCTTGGGGCTACTTCTACACTTGAAAGAAAATAGGGGGCACTGTGGAAGAGGACCCAGAAACCACTTCCAGTGTTTCGGGGAGTCACCAGATTCACAGACAGTGTTGCTATGGGGCCATCGCAGCCATATTTGCAATGCTAGTGGGGGATTGCAGTACATTGGATTAATCTCAGGGTCCTACATGCTAGACCTGTGCTTTACAACAGCCTCTCTCTGTCTACTTGTACACTATTAAGAGAAACCCTTAGAGGACTGAAAGTCCCTGTTCAAGGTCCCAAAGTCCCATGAGACTCTATAGAGAGTCCATCTGTAAGAGCAAAGGAGAAAACCAAATAGCTTCTACAAAATGGCTTTTCAATCTGGTATTAGGATTTTAAAATAAATGTGTTTCTTAAGATGCACTTTATTACAAACAAATACATAAACATGTTTATGCTGTTTACATGATGTTTAAAAAGGATAACCTTGGTAATTATTATTTCTTTGTTTTTATTTTTCTATGTGCTCTATTAGCTCAACTGGCTGAAAAACTTGCACTTCTTTGTCTACATCAGATAATTTTTTTAAATGCCTTTTTTTCCCCTTATCTAAGATGAAGATGAGAACAATGAGACACAATTATCGGTCAACTGCAAAATAAATTTGTTTTGCATCATTTCAATGAGACATTATACATATTTCATCACATCCACTTATATAAATACACATACTACACAGGCTAAGTATCAAGAATAAACTTAACATGCAGGGTACAATAAATATGTGTTTTTAAATTAAACCTATTAATTTTAACTACAGGATTTAAATATTTAATGCACTGATAACATCACTATTTTATTCTGCCTGTTGAGAGAGAATAAACATATTACATCCTAATGGTGCTTAAATTTCTTTGGGTCACTGGCACTAGTGATTGCCATGCTGCATACAACTACAAGTAACTGCAGTAGATAAAGGAAGACTATCTTCTAAAGAATATTACACACACTTAAAGCATCTCCAAACAGGGGCTTCACTTTTTTTTCAATTAGCAATATCAACATAAATTCCATGTTTGAAAAATGGTTAAAAACACTCCATTAATGCCAAGTGTAACAGATGTGCCATAAAGAGTCTTCTGCCCTGCAGGTGCATTAATTTGTCTTACTCTTTTGCCAGGTAATCTCTGGAGTAAAAAGGAATATTACCTTACAACTTAATTCATACACTGGATGGAGAAGTAGATTTCAATAATGTTTTATGCCTCTTTAATATTTGTACATCTCTTCCACGTGACAATGGGGAAAAATCATAAGGAATGTAACTATAAATTTGAAGAAAAATAAATACCACCAAAGAAAAGCAAAAAACAATTCTAGATGCAGCAGAGGAAATGACAAATCACTTGAACTTTTCAAAACAATGTACAAATAAAAAATCATTCAACAGCATGCAACAAAACTGTCAAAGAAGCAATGGAACAGTATGAGGTGTGCAATCATCTGAATGAGGCAGCCCTACACATAAGCCACACAGAGAATTTCTTACTTGCACATGTATCTTGAGGGGTTTGAAAGGTCCTTCACCATGAAGCACTCGCCTCCATTCACACAGAAAGTCTTCTCTTTTTCTGCACACTTCACAAGATGGCTTGTCCCAGTTGTAGATGTAGATGTAGCTGGATAAAAAATAAAGAAAGGATAAGGATTATCTCTTGTCCTTCTAAGAAAACCACTAGTCTTAAATTATTTTAAGTAAGAGTAGATATAGAGGACTTCATAAGCATGCAAGCTTAAAAAATGATTGTAAGTAAGTCTATTCCCTGAATATAACTGAATATAATTGATTAAAATAATATGATGGGACAAGAGGGCGGAACAGTTAAGGCAATAGGCTGCTAAATGGAATAAGGTTATACAAAGGTAAGTGATATTAAATTACCTTGTAATTAAAGAGGAAAAGGACTAAATGTTTTTCATAACCAATTATTTTGGAAGTTGATTAAGAGATAATAAAATGAAGTAAATCATGAAGTAAATACATTTTCCAGGAAGACTCAGAGTGATAAAAAGAAAGGTAAATTTCAATTTAGATATTAATATTTAATTATAACAATTTTTTTATTTTGGGAATTACTTTAAATATACGCTAACTTTATACATCTTATCCATAACATGTAACAAAAAAATACAAGGGAGATATTTTGGTCTTAGTGGAAATATGTTATATTAAGAGTTAAATATATATATATGTGAATTCATATTAACATACAACATCCAGGTTCATATTATTTAAAACTTATACTCTAATTTCCACCCAGAAGGACATTGCTGAATGTCTGATTTTTCTCATATTTTTGAAGAAATGGAAACACTAATGTTGCTTCAAATGTAGAATAAAGTGCTAAAAAGTTTCCCAATTTGCATGAAGGGTAGGAACAAGTCTTAATTTGGATTTGCCATATCTTCATGTGTTGAAATTAATAATCACTGCCTAAACTTCATAGTTAAGTGAAAGTAAAGCCGAAAACTATGCCTCCACTCTTGGATCCATGGATTAAGCCAAGCCAAAGCTGTCTGTCCTGAGACCACCATGGCAAAACGTATCAGAGCTTCTCCCTACTTGCATCGCCGAGAACACTACACGCAATGTTCAGTCTCAACAAAAGCCAGTTTTATTTACATTACTGATATTACTAGGATGAAAAGCAAAGCAATGTCAAGATAGCATAGATTCTATGTACTATATCGGAAAATAAATAAATCTCTACACAATTTTTTTCTTCTTTAGTGACTCATTCTTAGTGATCTTTAATAACTGGTTTCTTTATCAGTTTTTTTATTGCTTACACGCACAATTCAGATGTTTTGACCCATTATGTGTAAATTTTTTTTCTGCCTTTATTTTTCATTTTCTTCACAACTACAGCTTGGGCTTTGATCTTAGTCCAAATTTCTCCTCAGACTATGCATGAGTTTTACTGGTTAGAATGTTCAGCCTCTGATTATTTAGTTTCTGAGTCTTTTTTGCCTCTCATTCTCCTGTCTAAGGCTTGTCTTTGGACCATTTCACCACTAGATTTTAGTCATTAAACAAGTCATTTAACCACCCAGATGCTCAATTTTCTATTTACAAAGTAAGGGGTAACAGTACTATTATAAGATTTTTATTATGATTATAAATAACCTAGGTACAATAATTGGCACAAAACTGGCACTGAAAAAATGATAGTTATTATTGAGAAAACAAGGAACATATTTATCAGACAAAAAAAATTGACAATGGAATGGAAATACAATGATTTCAAATAAATATGCTATTTTTACTCATTACTGTGTATAATTAACAACTGTTTTTTTAATACCCAATCAAGAGATGCTTTTCAAAATGGATTTCAAGATATTCTTTGAAGATTTACCCACATATAAAAGGAAATAAGAAGAGTGAAGAGATGATTTAATCCTCTATTATCAGCTGTACTTTAACACTTTCACAGAAAGAAGTAAATGTAATTTGGGCAATGTGGCTTGTCAAACACAGGGTAGCAACAGTCCCATGGCACTGAATCTGAACATAAAATTTTTATGTAAAAAAACTGTTTAAGTTGGTGGTATGTATTAATGTGCTCATATGTGGAAACTTTTTAAAAAATATATCAGAAGGAAAATTGCATTAAAGGTTGGAGAGTTTGTGTTTAAGACTGTTATGTGCTGACAGGATTTGGTGCGATGATGTATTGGGCAGGGCCACTTGGATCTCAGGTGATGGGCTGAGTGGAACACCTGCAGTGTGCTGTCACCAGCCCTTCCAGCAGGGGACCTCTGATCCTAAAGCAGACTCCAGTGGTCTCTGAATCCCTGACAAATTGTTAATAATTTCCCAAGCTGAGGGGTAAACGGTGCACCAGGTCCTTCAGAACTAACTCTGAGCTTTATCTAGAGCAAGAAAACAACAACCCCTCCCACCCTGCACTCCCAACTCTATATAATTTGCAAAATACCAGTAAATATCGGGCTGGAGCGATAGCACAGCGGTAGGGCGTTTGCCTTGCACACAGCCAACATGGCCGTCCCGAGTTCGATTCCTCCGCCCCTCTCGGAGAGCCCGGCAAGCTACCGAGAGGATCTCGCCCACACGGCAAAGCCTGGCAAGCTCCCCGTGACGTATTGATATGCCAGACACAGTAACAACAAAGTCTCCAATGGAGACGTTACTGGGCCCGCTCGAGCAAATCGACGAACAACGGGAGGGCCTTTACCTTTACCTTATCAGTAGGGATAAAAGCAAAAGGCATACATATCACACCTCTTCCTTTGTATGATCGTTTTCTGATCTTGTCAGAAATCATTATGATTTTATTTTTTCAAAACTTTTTTAGGTTGTCAACAATTATTTTAATTAAAATAAACTAAACTATATTATAATATTCTATTCCGCACATTTTGAAAACATCCATAATGTACTTGAATAACAAATATTCGGAACAAAACGCCTGCCTTGTTTTACACTTCATAGCATATATTGATTTTTGGTAAATTTAGCTGAAGTTTTCTTTTATTAATGTGCTCATATGTGGAAACTTTTTAAAAAATATATCAGAAGGAAAATTGCATTAAAGGTTGGAGAGTTTGTGTTTAAGACTGTTATGTGCTGACAGGATTTGGTGCGATGATGTATTGGGCAGGGCCACTTGGATCTCAGGTGATGGGCTGAGTGGAACACCTGCAGTGTGTTTTTTTTTTTTTCTTTTTTCTTACAGGGCTGGAGCGATAGCACAGCGGTAGGGCGTTCGCCTTACACACGGCCAACATGGCCAACCCGAGTTCGATTCCTCCGCCCCTCTCGGAGAGCCCGGCAAGCTACCGAGAGTATTCGATATGCCAGACACAGTAACAACAAAGTCTCCAATGGAGACGTTACTGGACCCGTTCGAGTATTACCAAATATAAAGTTTTAATGTAATTGTAATTTGCATTACAATTACATTACAATTTGTAACAAATACCAAGTTCTGCAACTATTTTTAAGAAGAGAAAAGCATGTTCTCATTTTTTGTAGATGAAAAATAATTGCATTAGAAATCATTATGATTTTAAATCGCACATTTAAAATGGAAGAAATCTTTTGTCAAATGTCCTTTAAATATAGCACCACTGTGATTAATTGGCATTTGGGGCCACACGACATCTTATTATCTCATTCTTACTTTGGACAAACTGCAGGCTACCGAATGTAACCTGCCCACACGGCAGTCTGGCAAACTCCCCGTGGCGTACCCAATATGCCAAATACCAGTAACAATGATGGATCTCATTCTCCTAACTCTGAAAGAGCCTTGAATATGGCACTTAAAAAAAAAAATCTTAGGGCTAGGACGAAGGAGACGTTACTGGGGCCTGCTCAAGGCAACTGACGAACAACAGGATGGTCGTGATCATCGTGATTAATTCATTAAAAAAACGCAGATAATTAGCTGAAAATAGGGTTAGGGTAGCTGAGAGTAGAATAAGTCTTGAGCAAAAGCAGCAGCAGTTCATTCACATAACCATCAACTATCCTGCTTCCTAACTTTACCCTTTAAACAGCAGCAAGAACCAAAAATGACCATAGGGTTTTAAAGCAGCAATTAATGCCTGGCGATATAAGGCTCTGACATGGGCTGGACACAGCTGTTCTAAAGCAACAGCCAAACACAGGCATGAACTGGACCTAGGAAGGAGATGGTGACAGATGCACCCTTCAGATTTTTCCAGGTTTCCTTTTATTCTAAGCTGAATGCAGTACACTGTTGTCCTAAACAGTGATGGATTTTGCAGTGACAGCCTTTCTCTTTGGCATAAAATAAGCTGCACTCTAAGTCAGTTTCCATTGGGCAATTCTGCCAGAAAATTTAAAAGAAAGACAAAACAATTACTTCAACTAAACTAGGAAAACCTTCTTTCTGGGGGAGTGGAGAGGCGATTATTTGAGGGAAAGCTGGAGGGTTTGTAGAATGCCTTTCAATGTATAAAAGATGACCCTCAGAGTTGTTCTGGATGTAAGGGAAATAGATCTCATCCATTCAGTACTTAATAAAACCCGACATCCTTGTACTTGTTTTGGGCTACTCTGTCCTAATTTGGAATTTTGTCATCTGGTGGTGACATACTGAAGAGCAATTAGGAATACTGCTAAATATGATTTCACTATTTTTTTTATTTCAAACATACTTTTCTTTTATCCCAAAAAGCATTTCTTCAGTGTGTTAACAGCTATACGACCATTAAGAAAAAGATACAAAGCAGCATCTTGTTATCAGAAAGTGCACTTTAGTGCATCGCTTTTGAATTTTTTTTTTTTTTTGCAATAGCAATTTGACCTGATTATCACTGAGAGATTCAAGAATTCTCTGACGTAAGCCAAGTCTCTGGAGGCTAAGACCACTCTTTGTGGCCTCTCCATATTCTGCACCCACAACACAGCATGAAAGGTTAGTGTGTATTTAATAAGAGAGTGTGTTCTCTCGTCATGTGCGTTTGGTGGCCACTAGCTGCTTCCCTCCCCCCGCCTGCAGTCTCTGCCAAGGACTCATGAACGACGAAACAGGATAGCCAAGCTGGTTGATGATCAGTTGCTATTTATCCCAGTCTCCGTCCCACTGTTTATTCGATTCTCCCCTTGTGCCAATTCCAATCTCAC